GCATGAATCAATATCGAAGAAAGAGTTGCCGAAGTGAGTAATATGATCAATAATAATTTAAGGGATTTTGATGAATAAATCTTTTGGAATCATTTATCAATTCCTCAAAAAGAAGATATAATTGATAAATTTAGTGGAATTATGGTCGCTTTAATAAAAAGAAAATAAATATACGGTATAAGCATTCAATTTATTAAACTAGAATAGAAATTAATTGTATATAAAAGATGTTCGCGTTTTGGTGTTACAGGAAACGGATATAACCTGACTCGTGTTTACGTTGAAATGATCGTGTAACTATTATAGCAAACAAATAACGCACAGGTTGACTTACATTATTCGTGCATCTTTTGACATAACGATTACTATTATTGATCAAAGAAGTTAGGAACATGCATCTATCAAGTTCCGTACGCACAGCAAAAAAACGAAAGCAGGACTTCCGAACTGTTTTATTATCGAGTTGTACGGTTTATGTTTGGCAAATGCATTCGATGAACAAGCATCTTTGTGGCTTGATGCTGGATGTAATTTAAATGTGCGAAAAAATGTACACATGCGAGCTCACCAGCCAAGATCATCAAACTGGTAGACTAAAAACGAATAAAATCCCAGTTAAAACTACTACATTGACCTAAAAATTTACAAATAGAAATGAAAAAATATTGCTCTGAAATTGAAAAATGGAATTGGATATCCTCTCTTCTCCTCGAAGAAAAAATTTTTATTATTACATTTCTCCTGCAGGTTATGAATTTATCCGCGAGTTTTTTCTATATTCGAAACGGCGGTCTACCATTCCTTACAGCACTTCCATTCGTCTTTTTATTAGGAACGAACGTTGTGAGTTGAAGTGTCATTAACCTGTTGTGCTTAAAACAAAGAATGATTTTCGATTCATGGATTCTCCTTGTAGTTATTCTGGAAAACAATATCGATGGCGATCGCTTTTATCATCGTTAACTTCATCCCAATAATAATTGCCGCAGTAAACACGATCCACTCACACCTTTTTTGCAAGAACTGCCGTTTTCCTTTTAATAACTCGGGTGGATTTTATATTTTAGGTGAGGTGTGGGTCAAACCTTCTCGTAACCTTTGCATTAATTGTCACTAATGCCTGGTGCGCCTAAAGATTTGCCAAAAGAAGAACACCATCTCTATGATATTTATGCCACTAGTGATTTGATTTCTTTGGTGATCGCGTGCTTCACAGAAATCTTGTTTATCGGCTTGACATATCATTTGTGGAAAAATAGGTAAAAGGACAGGTTTTAATCGATTCCTATCATATATTCCAAAAGGTAACGTTAGAAAAATTTCATTTAAGGCTCTGGCAATTTTACGGACAGTCCATATATGTCGACCTGTACAATGTAAAACGTAAATATTTCATCCTTTCGACACGCACGAGATTCTTGTTCCATCTCACAAGTTTTTGGATTTCACATAGAGACCTTCAAAGTGTACGAACGTCAATCGGCACTTTTCTGCACCACAATCTCCGTAGTTGGTGTTTGGGGAAATCTTCTTCTTCTCTACACATTTCAAATGTCTAACCTCAAGCAGAAATATAATAACGAACCGATTAGGAATCATTTTTGGCATGTTCCAAGCTATGTTCTTCTCTTGCCTTACATGATTCTCATATTAGAAGCGGTTAGTCACAATCAATTGTTGAAACGCAAAACTCTCTATTGCTACATCTTGTTATTGAAATACTGTACTCATATTTATCATTAGATTCGGAGAGAATCGCGTAAAATTCTTGCATTATTCTGCATAGGAAACACTCTGCAGACTTTATTCATAATTTGGATTTCCTTAACATGGTGCTCGATTTTCTATAAGTGGGATGAGTCCGCTGTGTGCTCTTTCACAAATCGAATCCTGTGGTCACCACCATATCAAATAATTCTAACTACAGGTAATATAAATATGCTTGCTTTAAGTGATGTGCTTAAATTCAGACATCGGATACAGTATACAAGCTTATATGTATACGTATATTGTATATGTTTTTTCTAGGTGTTATCTGCATAATATTATTAACATTTTCAAGCATAAACTCATTGCTCGTTCAGAATAAGTTTGGCAAAAATTATACTTATACTTATGCATTAATTGGTAAAGACAATGTTTGTTTCTCATTAGACAAAGATGTAAAAGGCTATCATTTGATAAAATTTTAACCAGTACATTTGATAATTCCGGTTTTTTTCTTATATGCAATAATAAAAGGATGTTTTGAAATTTAGAATTTAATTTACTAATTCGGGCTTTATGATCTCATATAATTCAGCATTAGAATTTTTAATGCTTAGAGACGAAGGACGACAAAAAAGTATTTTATTCAATTCATTTATAAACAAATATTTATGAGTCGGAAATTATGGCGACACACTGATCGATGATATTGTGGCTTGGGATCCGTGATACACGCTTATTACCTTGCTGCTTTGAAATATCTTGGTAGCTTTCTGGGAAAGCGTGAAGAAACTTTCTCTCTTGTAATGTTTAGAGTTTCGATTACACGAAGGTGATATCATAGTTACAGATGGTACTAAATATTATCCCCGAAATATGCAGATTGTAAAAAACATTTAAGGGAAATTTATTGTTCTGCGCCTGTCACCGATTACCCTGCAGGAAGATCCCACGGGCTCTGTTTATGTCCCGGTCCATGACCATATGACAGTTCTCACATTTATAAACTTTTCTTCCACCAATGTTTTGGATGTTTCCGCAACAGCTGCAGGTCTTAAAGGTGTACACCTCATTCTGAATAATCACCATTACACCTGTTTCCTCGGCCTTGTGTTTCAGCCACTACCAGAATGTATAATGTGACCAGGTAAGCATACTTCAAATTACTTTTGAATTGATTTTTCGTCGATCTCATTTCACCATATTCTTTACTTTAAATTCAGATATAATTACAACATCATAGTTTTAAATCAAATAGTTTATTATTTTCTTGTGAAGCTTCTTATGTAAATTTCTAATTTTTTAAAATATTCTTACAATTGTATTATCTAATCTTTTTTGCTTTTTTTTTTTTGTTTTGATATAAAATTGTTTAAAAGATCTCTTTTGAAACTTAACCTGTCAGCATGTAACCCTAATTGAATCAATCTCTACCTGTCATTCTTTCCAATTTCCATTATACCTTTGGTGAATGAGTATGTAACAAATGGGATTCATACTCTAAAATTGATAGTTACAAACTTTTCATAAGCTTTTTTATTTTGTTTTGGTTTTTTATAAACCCATAAAAAAATCCAATCATTTATTTTTTGATAATAGGTAACCTTACAATTACAATTGATTTTTTTGAATAGTCATTTGTTATTTTTTTGTTGGATTTCAAAATATAAAAATCATAAATCTTTTTTGTTTTATATAATTATATAAGGTTTCTTTTTTGACGTATATATCATTTGATTGTATATCAATTGGTTATATAGATATAATATATAAAAATAATTTCAATTTCTTTTTGAAAAATTTTGTGATCAAATATTAATAATATATGTGAGATTCTTTTTTGACTTAAATTTTAACATAGATCTTTAATTTTTCTGATTATGATTTTTAATCATCTTATTTATTGTCTCATCGATGATACTATTAGGAATCTCTTTATAAACATTTTTGAGTTTAAACTCAAGATATATAAGATAATAAAGATACTGAGTATATGAGCAATTAAGATAAAGTCAAACAGATGTTTTATTTAGATATACTTAAATATAAAATTAAAATAAGTGATTATCATATTATATATTAATCTTACTAATCCCATTTATTATTTCAGTAAGCATTTTTGTGTATAATTTGAATATAATTTTATGAGAAGGATTTTGTTCACACTTTTATTTATTTTTTGTTTTTTTATTTTTTTTATCATTAAGACCTTTTTTCTTTTTCTTCTTTTCTTTTTAATATTATATAATTCTTTTTTCTTATATTCTATAGATAAAGATAATATTAATAGTAAGAATATCTTTGAATAGTTTATATTTGTCAGTTTGTCAAATTATTGAAAAAAACCATAAATTATGTATCAAAGACAAATTAATAGAGTTAATTGTGATAAATAATCATAACTTTTGAAACCATTCCATGACTTGTTTATTCCAATATAGTCTTAAGTCATAATTGCTTAAAGTTAATATCTAAGCTGATGTCATTAAGTTTGTAAGTTGAGAATTGAATCTTTTTTTGTTATTCAAGATCTTTTTGCTTAACACATAAATTTTTTTTGATAATGAAATTAATAGTACTAATAGTGATGATAGTAATGATAGTGATAAATTTAACAATATTTAAAGAAGTTGTCTTCAGAAAAAAAAAAATTGTTATAAAAGCAAGTTTCAAATGAAATTATAAATACAATAATTATCTAACTATCCTTTTTTTTGCTTATTAATTATACTACAAATATAATTGTTTATAAGGTTTTTATTAACTTATATCTGTTACTCTAATTTTATTTCTATTTATATTAGTTGTAATACATTCATCAATTTAATATTATATCATACAAATTTTTAACAGACTCACTTTCCTTCCCACAATAATACATAATCTGATACATTACGTCATGTTACATAATCCTGTCTCTTCCTAATATTAGGATATTAATGTCTATACAATAAAACAAATATTATTATATATATGATATTGACATATAAGCTTTTTATTATTTTAATGTATATTATATACTTATATTCATACATACACAAGTTAAAAATATAAGTCTTAAATGTGGACAAACTTTATTTGAAAACTTTTTATACTAAAAAAATAATCACAATTTTACTATATCATCAAAACTTTCTATATCTGATAAAATATATATAACTTGTAATCCTAACATTACATTTATAATCAACTGTGATATAGCTCATAATGAGTCTTAATCAGTATTAACTAGTATTTTAACTAATAGATATTTATATAACTAAGTCAGTATAAGTTGATATATATATACTGTTATTGCCTTAGGAGAGCAAAATAAGAAATGTATCAATTTAGACCTGCAGTAAACAGTATATTTCTATAAAATACAAAAAAATAAAAACAGAATAAAAAAAAAGAAAAAAAAATATTTAAAGAAATATTAACAGAAATCAAAAGAAGATGAAAATTTATAATTTAATATATTGAAATTTTCAGTTCCTCACTTAACAGACTTCAAAACCACTAATAAAAAATAATTTTCAATCCTTAATGATTTAATTACTCAATATATGTTATATTTCAAATAATATTAAATAAATTAACATAAACAATTGAATATTATTATTTTGGTTGAATTTCACAACTCTATTCTAATATTAGAATCAAAAGATAACAATATACAAAAATGAATTTCAAAAGAAAAAAAATAAAAATATGAAAACAAAAGTATAATAAAATAATAATTTTTTTTTTTTTTTTTTATCGTAAAAGGGCATTAGATGCAAAACTTTATTAATGTATATATGTGATACACAGATTACATCAAATATCTTTACAACTATAATATGTAAGTTAATGTTAACCTATCTACGATGCTAACTATCGCTATCCTAATTATACTTGATATAATCCAGATAAGCTTTAGTGCTGGATGGTTAATGCCCTTCCAGAGCTGATTTAAATTCACAACTGTTGAGTAAACTACTTGCTTTCAAGGACTGTAAGCTTGTGAAGTTAATAATGCTATGCAGGAGATTTGTATCAGATGCAGTGGATGGTATTGACTTTCCTCTCTTATTACAAATGTTATTGACATTAGATTTGGTCCATTTGATGCCTGATGCTATTGAAGTATTGGCTGTTGCTGATCTTGGAACCCATATCATAGTGTATAGGAGTTTTAATACAGAGTTTACTAGTTTGGCATGCTTTTTATTCGACAGCTGGATTCCCAGGATTGTCACTCCACATGCTAGCTTGTCGAGGTGCGATCTATTATTGAAGCTGAAATTTATGATCCACGATGTCAACCTTGATGGCACATTGGAGCTAATGTTGCTTACGAGTTTGGTTATTTTTAACTTCAGTTTGGTTTCCATCTCTGTATATGCCTCCCTATTCTTGAAACACTCGAAAACATGGCTTTGTATTTCTGTGGCTATTAAACACCTGGGGCAGAGGTTATCCTTATATACTTCTGGATATCTTTTATGGAGGAGCTGTCTCGTTGGAAGTGTACCACTTAAGATTTTGCTCCTAAAGGCAAGTAGAGATGAATGGTTATACTTGTTCTTTTTGATTAACAGCTTGTTGGCACGAATAAGGCATTGCAAGGTTGTGGTGCTCAGTGTTTGACCCCATCTATTTATAATCGATGTACTATTGATAATGTTGATAAATCTGAATGACTGCTGAATTCTTTTGAGCCAGGTTGCTATGCTATAGCTCCAGCTATTTTTGATTTTTGGACTTGTGGAGTACTTGCTGATTTCTATTATATCGTCGATACATATTATTGTATCACTTTCCTGCAGGTTGGGGTTGTTATCACTCTTATGGATTTGCAAGTTGATTTGTTTAGTGCCGCAAAGATTGTTGATATAGTCTACTAGAGGTCTTAACCTTTCTGTTGAAGTAATTTGGCATGTTCAAGTTAATTACTGTTGGAAGATTGGCTGTAATATATGTGGGAGTCTCAATGACTATCAATATACTTATAAGAGCTAACAGTATATTAACTGGCTGCTCATATTTAGTATAAAATGTTAGCCATGTATCATTGGCTTTCACTAGTATGAGTTTGTCTTTTGTTGTCATACTAATTGTTAAAAACATATGGTTAATGTTGAGTACTTGTTTTAGATTGTCTACCATATTGGTACTA